AAGCTATGATACAGGAAAAGCCAAACTATTCTGGCCTGTTAATAATAAATTTAAAAAGTATGTTATAGCTGCATGGTGTTTGAATAGTCAGAAAACTGCTAACTAAATTGGGATATCATCATGAATTAAAATTCATGTCACACAAAAGGAAAAAACAGATTGAGTTAAGTAATGCCATTAATAGAATAACGGGGGGGGGTTGTTTTTTTCTGATGAATTGGTGTGTTCTTACTACTGACAAGAACAGCCCATATTTTAAGTGATATTTATTGAGAATAAAATTCATAGGAAATTTAGTTTCTAAATAGATAAGCTTTTTATTTTAAACAATATAAATTTAAATTGTATCTTTCCAAACCAGATGACGTCTCAGATTATATAATTAAACAAATATTTAAAGTGTGATTACTGACCAGTTATTAGTCATGCTAAAATTTTAAATGATTTTCTTGATGTTCATCAAAGAAAATGATTTATTTTTGTCTTCATTTTGACCCCACCTGACCAACTGCTCAGAATTTTTCCATATGAGCCATGTTTTCTAGCATTTCTAAGAGAAAGAACATGAATGAGCCTAGTGAGCATTAAATTAGAAGTTTTGTAAGACTGGATTAGTGTTAAATATCCTTATTTTAATATTATGCATCCTAATATGGTTATGAACATATCCTTAGCATGGGCTTGGATTGATTGGTTTCAGTCCTTTCTTCTGTGAAATGCAGAAAGAAAGAAATGTTTGTTATTTCCATGTACTTATACTAACTAGCTGTACACATCTGGCTTCCATTGGAGAGCCCCTGACATCACAGGGAACGGTGATCAAAATTCCTCACTCTAGCTTCAAGCTGGGGGCTCGTAGCTATTGCAGCATTGAAAGGGAATATTTTCCTGGCTTCTTAAAAATGAGCATGGTGATGGGATGGTTTAAGGGAAGAATACCTCAAATCACATGACCACTGCTGTGCTTCTGTGTGTCTTGCTTTCTTCATAACAGCTTGGCACTACATTTTTTTCCCTGTATTGTTAGTGGACTTTTTTTGTATGTATGAGTGGGCTGGGGGCTGGGGACATAAATGAATGGTTATACATTATGCATGCATCTTTCACCCCAAAATGATGTCTTCCTTTATGTATCACAAATTACAATCATTCTTAACTTTTGTGTCCTGAGTGATTGAGCTTCCTGTTTCTCCCTTTTTGGTGTGAGACTTGTATGTTATTGATATGTTTTGACATTTACACCTTTAGTTGTTCATGTTACATTAAACATAAGTTTAAAATTTTCTCCCAAAAAAGTTAGCTTTTCATGTTGGGCTGGAAGAATCTTCATTTCTGTGTAGCAATTCATGTTATTATAACCTATGGCTTTCAATTGTACCTTTTATAATGAAGCGCTGACTTTAAACACTGTGCTATTCTTGTTATGACCTAAGCATAAGGTAAGTAATTTATCTGTCTCTAAAGATTGTGGCTGCTTGTTTCAATTTTCTCAGTTTTTTTTAAAGGCATTTTTATTTTGTTCATTACCATTTATTATGTGTTGTTCTTTCTTTGTTTCTGTCATATCTTAAGATTTCTTAATAAGCTATGTGATCTTAAGCAAAAATCCTATTTTACATGTAAACGTGTCTAAATAATTTGATGTCTTGAGCAATCTTGATTAATAAGTGAATACCTGTGTTTTCAGTAGTCTCATTTCTTTTTTATTTCCTCCATTTACTTCAATAAAATACACTGTTCTTACATTGTTTTAGTTCTGATTCCTGTGGAAAGGAAAATCATTTGTTTGGGCTATAAAATCAGTCAGCTATAATTGCAGTAAAATAACATGGCACAACAGAATAAAGTAATGGGAATTCTAATAGTATACCTTTCATTGAACCTTTCATTTCTTCCCTTAGAAATTTAATGTAATCCCATAATCTCAGATTATTTAATTTTCATGTTCCCTTTTTCTCACTGTTTAAAACGAGTAACAAAATAAAATGAAATAAAACTTGATACTTTAAACTTATTTCTAATAGTAAATTCTATTATATAATGTTACGTAAATAGCTTTTTATTGAGATTTTTATAAAAAAATAAATACCATAAATATGATCTTATGTAGTACAGAGTCGTTCAGTACATACATTAACAATGAAGTGTTAAAATTTACTTTTCTCGGCTTATTTTAGATATTCACGTTTAAAATCACCAAGTAAAGAAAGTTATAATCACTGATTTTAAAAATAATTTCTCTAATCTGGTTCAACAGCCAATGTAACATAAATGGGAAACATTAGTTACACTACTTTTGGCAATTTGCACACCTTAATAAAGGCTCCTATTTTAGAGAACTGAATTGTTTTAATTCTCCAAATCTCTCCTCTAGAGTTGTTTGAAAAAGTGGTTCCAAACTGAGGTATAAAAAAGCAATGTGGGTTTCTTTATCTGTATTATAAACAATTGTGGGAGGGGTTTGTTAATTTTTAAGCCACTTAGAGAAGTAGGAGGGATGTTTTCTTTTGCTGTGGTTTTGTTAGAAAATACCAGGGAGTTCTTTACTGACGTTCCCATTATATACATTATCAAATGTATATAATAGACATTGTGTAAATTTGTTAGAACATTTTAATGAGACAATTTGAAGTACTCATCTGAACTGCTCTGTTCATTGTAAACTTCTTGTTTCTATCCACACACTAGCTCCACTCTAGGTTGGAAGGGCTTAAAGATGAACTCTGGAGAAATAGAGGCCACGACTTAAGAGTAACTATTCCTGACCAAAGGAGCTACTTTCCACTCGCAAACATTGCTTTGCGCGATGGGTTTGGCTCCTTCACATCTTGTTTTACATCTTGTTGAAGACTTTCTTGACTTCCATTTGACCTCTTTGAGCTGTTTTGTCTTTCAACATTTTCCTCTTTCTTTTCCTTCTTTCTCCCAGCTTTTCTTCCCATGCTTTCAGCGTTCTCTTGTGTTCTTTGAGTCACTTCTTCAAGTGTAGTTTCTCTCTTTATTAAGCTTGTCTATTAATTTGTCTGTTGGTGTGTGTTTCTTTTCCCGTTAAGACTGTAGAGGTAGAGTTACACTTGTTTTCATTTCATGGTATGCAAATTGCTCATTTATTTTGCAGAAAGTTCATTAGTTACACTTGCCTTCTTGATATGAATTTTCTATAAGAAACAGTAGAACATTCTCCATTTATAAAGTCTCTACTCTGTAAGCCCATGCTTTTTTATTTTAATTACTTCTTCAGTCTCTCTCTGCTTTTTTCGTTGTTATTATTATTATTATCATTATCATATTTTCTTCCATGTCTTATTTTCTTTAAGCCACTAATTTCTTTCTCATTTGGTCCAGCATTGTTCCTCAATAAGACTTGAAAGTAAAGAAATATAATAATTTTTTGTTGTTGTTGTTCTGGATGAGTGTCATTTTACTATACCTAAAACTACTTAAACATTCTGGGCCAAAAGAAAACAACTAACAGTCATGATTTTTTTGTTGTTGTTTGTTTTGCTGTGTGTGCGTGTGTGTGTGCGTGCGTGCATGCATGCGTGCGTGCGTGCGTGCGTGCGTGCGTGTGTGTGTGTGTGTGTGTGTGTGTGTTTAGATTTATTTATTTGCTTTGGTTTTTGTTGTTTGTTTTATCTGCTCATGGCACTTTTATTATTGTTTCTTTAAACATTAAACATTTGGCTTTTTGTTTTCAGGGAAGGACAGCCTAAGTTACAACATTCTTTTCATAAACTGTTTCATATATTATTAGACTGTGTTAAGCTATAGAAAGTTCTTTGTTGTCTATATTTCCACTTGGGGCAAGCTGCTGTGGAGTGGGAGGAAGAGGTATGGACCTTAAATAAAGTTGTATCTAAAATTCATAATAGTACCATTCAATGTGGCCATTGAGTTACAGTCATTTGGTAAACTTCAAAAGAAATGTTCCACTTTGATCTAAGTTTTTCAGTCACAGCATGAAGGGCAAACCCCTAACTGACAAATTATATACACACCTAAAACTGGTGAATAGAGGAATAAAATTTAACTCATTTCCAAAAGAATTATTTTTCATTGCCAGTATTTTAAGAAGTTATTATAATCAGTATTACAGAAGTTATTACCATCAAAGGTAAATCTTACAGATAAGAAATTTTCTTTTCTCCTTATCAACACATATATAATAAAAATCACTACAATAGAATGTTTGATTTTAACTTTACATGGATTTCATTATTATTCTAGTCAAGACATACAAAACACCTTAAGATTGGGGGTTAATATTCGTAACTAAATATGCAGTGTTAAATTTTCCCACATTGTCACCCTTCAATAAATATTCATGCCAAGTTTATTTCAAGACCTCTTTAGATACCAAAATCCCAAATACTTGAGTTTCATGTGATAAAACAGCATATGTTACTTACAGCCTAAGTGTCTACCCATATGCTTTACTTTAGCTTAGTAGACAAGTGCTCTACCATTGAGCTATCGCCCTCTTCTCTGTTTCGTCACTGAATGCAGTATGAACGCTATGTAAAGAATTGCTATATTGTGTTTCCTAAGGAGTCATGACAAGAAAATCAAGATCACACGTGCAGTACAGATGCAGGTGGTAGTGCTGGTGTTTTGTGTTACTGGTTTTCTTCTCCTCCTTTTATTTTTTTTTTCTTTTCATTTTCTTTTCTGATCCACAGTGTGTTGAATCTGCAGATATGAAACCCACAGATATGGAGGGCCACCTGGACTGATCTCAAATACACATAAATTGCTTTGGGTATTATCTTTGTCAAATTTATAATATTGTATCTGAAATATTTTCCTGGAACTCAATCTTTTTTTAAGCAAAACTGAATTAAATATATCTGGAAAGTGTAATAGACTTTTACTAACATGTTGTGATAGACGAGATAAATAAAACCTTTTCTCCTAGACCTCAGGAGCTTGCCCATTAAGCATACTTATCTGGCAGTCCATGTTATAAGCCCTAAATTACTGAGTTTGTGCTCTTTCTGCAGGTCCAGTCCAGGTGCAGCAGCAAGGAGAACATTCTAAGAGCCAGTAAGTAGTCACCATTTCAGGTAGGCTTCCAAACTATATAAATTGTGCCTCAACAGAATATAGAGCTAAAGAATGGCATTTTGTTAAAAAAAAAAAAAATTAAGATGAGTAGTGATAAAAGTTTATATCAAGAATATATACTTTATAAAATCCATATCCAAAACATTTCTTAATATCAATATAAATAAATATTTTCCTGAATCTAATTGTTTTTGCAAGCTGAGTAGATTTGACACATTCAAATTGGGGTAGAAGTGAGCTGCTCTGTGACACTAATGTGAGGAGTAAAAATAACTTAAAAGCAGACTACAAGAAAATAACTCTGATATGATATAAAGCCATGAAAGCAGAAGACAGAGAGAGAAAGAGAAAAGGAAACAAAACAGCAAGCTGAGCGTACATAGTTGTAGTCCTAGTCCTTCAGGATAAATCGGGAAGACCCTAAGTTTTTAGTCAGTCTGTGCTACATCAATAAGGCCATGTCTCAAAAAGGGGTTTGAGGTGGGTTAGGCAATAAACAATAATTTTTAAATATGAATTCCAAAATATTTTTACCTTCACAGGCAAAATGTATAAGACATTGTTTCCTGGTCCAAGAATGAAAAATCTTTAATTCTTTCTTTTGGTTTGATCACTACAATATTAATCTGAAAGTCTCTAAACCTTGTGTATTCATTTTCTTGTTTTATAAAAATAAAACTATGAGGCCTGGCAGTATGTGGCGCACACCTTTAATAATAGCACCCAGTAGTCAGAAGCAGACGGATCTCTGTGATAGTTCCAGGCCAGCCCGGTCTACAAGTGAGTTCCAGGACAGCCAAAGCTACACAGAGAAACCCTGTCTCAAAGGGGGGGGGGGGGAATGGAGGGATGGAAGGGGAGAGAGATAGGAAAGAAACTATGGATTTTTTTTTTTAAATATATATATACTACTATCCTTAAAGTGAAATTCTATTGGAAGATTTCCCATGCTTTGGGCTCCTCCAGAGAAAAAATGCTGTGTAGTGCTTGTTTGTTGTATTATTTTTCTGTCTCTTAATAATTTAGTGACATCACCAAGTCTCTTTTTTTTAATGGTTTTCAGTAGATATACTGGTAGGCCAGAATGAAATAGGTCTATTAGACACCCACACTAATGGGATTTTTTGGTAAATCAGATGTTTAATACTACAGTAGAATGTAAGTATTATTTAACAATCAAAACATACTTGGGAGGCTGAAGAGACAACTCAGTGGATAAGATGACTTGCTTTGTAATCCCAAAGACCTAAGTTCAGATACCTAACAAGGGGGAAAAAAAAGTGAGTCATAGTACACGGCTATAACCCAGCACCATGGGGAATGGAGACTAGAGGACTGCTAAAACTTGACCAAGCACTCAGGCAGGCTATCCAAAGGGGGTTGGGGGGGGGGGGGGGAGGGAAAGCTCTAGGTTCAATAAGAGAATCTGTCTCAAGGAAATTAAGGTAGGGGGGGGGTTTTTTTGTTTTTATTTATTTATTTATTAATATTAATCACAGGTTATTTGCTTTGTATCCCAGCCATAGCCCCCTCCTTCATTCCCTCCCAATCGCACCCTCCCTCCCTCATCTTCTCCCTGCCCCTTTCCAAGTCCACTAATAGGAGAGGACCTCCTCTCCTTCCATCTGTCCCTAGCTTATCAGGTCTCTTCAGGACTGGCTGCAATGTCCTCTTCTGTGGCCTACCAAGGCTGCTCCTCCCTTGGGGGAGGGGGAGTCTAAGAGCTCGCCATTGAGTTCATGTCGGAAATAGTCCCTGTTCAGGTAGGGGGAGTTTTAAAGCAAGTTGCCTCCATCTACCACTGGCCTCTTTGCACACAAATGGATGAACACACCACACCACACATTTACCAAACCATATACACAATTCCATAATTGTTTATCAGTAATGATAGCACTAGGGAAACTGAAACAAAACAAAACAAAAACTAAGAGCTAAAAGTCAACCCTGGGTATAGAGTTTGAAAATTCTAATTCTATAGGTGCATATTTGAGAACTTCAAATAAGTGAATATATATACTTTTAGGTAAATATTTCCTATTTCTTTGTTATGAATATGTTAATTTCTCTCAAAGCCCTTGAGTATTTGTTTGATTGTGATCTTTAGAGAGTATTATAAAAAAATAAATGCAGGGCTGGATTTTAGCTCAGTGGTAGAATGTTTCCCTAGTGTTAATGAGGCCATAGGTTCAATTTCCAGCACTGTAAAATAAATTAATAAATTTAAACAGTCATGTGTAGGTACCATACCTTCACAACTTTCCATAGTATGTAACTCTGAGAGACTTTGATGTAATGAGATATAAAATCTTATAAACACTAAGACCTAAGTTTGAGAAAACTGTTGGTCAGACATGATAATTGAATGTTCACTAAAATAAAGCAAGATAGCTAAATGAACTTTAAAATTACATCTTATGTGAGGGAGGGAGGGAGGGACTGGGAGGGAATGAGGGATCAGGACACGGCTGGGATACAGAGTTAATAAAATGTAACTGATAAGAAAAAAATAAAATTTAAAAAAAATTAAAAAAAAAGAAAACACACACACAAAAATTACATCTTATGATGAAAAGTGCATAATTTTTACACATTTTTACTTGTGAAATTATAGGTCACTGGGAATAATTATGATGATTAGAAACAAATACTTTTTGAGGACACATTCTCTTGAACTTTATTTCCTATCAACCACAGACTTTAGTGTTACATTTCAGTTACTATCTTACTGTATTAGTGGCTTATAATCAGTTTGGATAGGTATCATGGTAGCCCAAATATTCTTTATTGTTTTCTTTGGGGAAAGTAGTCATATAGATGGGCCTTGTGGCTCTTTAGGCCCACATGGAGCCCAACCAATATCGTACCTTCATGGTTTTGTGACTTCTGTAAGTTTATGTTCTTTCAACTTAATACCATGTTAATAATTCCTGTTCATACCATGGCCTCAACCAAAGTTCAGAATGCTGTCCCTCGTCTAGACTCATTTTTTTCATTATGAGGGGTGTGTGTGTGTGTGTGTGTGTGTGTGTGTGTGTGTGTGTGTGTTTGTATGTCCATGTCTGTGTATGAACATAAATGCCGATGGCACTGACGTGGCGGTCAGAAGACAACTCAAGATAGTCAGTTCTCTCGTTCCATGTCAGTCCCAAGGATCAAACTCAGGTCATCAGTCTTAGCAACAAGGACCATTCCCCACTGAGCCATCTTGGCCTGTTTCTTTTATCTACAATATTCCCTTTCCTTATTTATACTGCTCTTATCTCCCTAATCTTCTTATTTACCACGTAGTCCATATTGTAGTTCCATAGAAGCTATTAATAGTTACTCATTCTCTCAATACTAAATACTAACTCTGTTCATTTTATATCTGTTTTCATGCATAAACAACCTACCATTTGTGTATAAACCATTGACCATTTGTTAGAATTCTGTGACGCCTCTGAGTTTTCCTTAGTCAGGGTGACTAATCCTTCTTGTATATCCCATCAGTCATTATATCAAGAAAATAGCACCAGACTGGCCTAACAGCCCAATCTATTGGCATTTCTCAATTTTCCCAGATGGCATTCTCTGACAGCAGGTTTGAACTGCTCTTAAACCAAATATTTAGTCTGTTGGGATGTATTTTGATGTTGGGATATAAATGCTGTAGTTTTAGTGAGTGCTGCCTATCTGGTGTTTAGTATAGCCTCCTTAATAGCATGATTTTTTTTGCATGTGTATCGAGTTCAAAACCTCATTTCTAAAGCATTCCAAAACATGGACTAATTAATCCTGAAGTATAATGTCAATGTATTTAAATTAAATGGCTTATCTTGCTGACAAACTCTGGTGTATTCAGTAACGTTTGCTTCTGACAAAGCATCATATTCTAGGGGTGGCAATTTATGAAAATAAAATGAACCCAGTTTAAGAAGTTATTAAAGAGTTAATTTCAATTCATAGCCATGTTTATGTTTGTTATCCAGGAAAGAGATTTAATTTACAAATGTTACAATTAACCCACCAGGGAGAACCACTCTGACATAGTTTACAGCCAATTGAAACTTTTAGCCACATCCGAGTGTTTGGGGATCTAGGTTTGGCCCCAAGTGTCTAGAAGATAGGGTATTTAAAGGCAAAAACCATGCCCTGGCATCTCACTAGATTCACAGAAGTAAGCAGTTTAAAGCGAGCAGTTTAACAGAAGGTAAAGCAAGCAGTTAGCGTGAGGGAGTTCCATACAAACAGTCAGTTTAACAGAGGCTAAGTTAGCTAGGAATCTTGACCTTGGGTTCCTAGAATAGAGTTGGGTAATTTTTTTATGGGATTCTACATCAAGGAGATCAAATTCTAGTTAAACCAAAATGGCCTCAGCAAGAAAACAAGATGGCAGAACTGTTGCGCTGTCTAGCTCATGTGGGAATATGGCAATTTCAAAATCTATGACCCTACTACCTGTAAAAACTACTAAAGGCAAGAATCACCTCAGTTATCTCTTAGTAACTACCATGAAAAAGCTTTAAGACTTGTTAAAAGTCTGTTAGTAGTGAAAGATTTCCTTCCCTGCTCTTTTCTGAAGGGAAATGGAGGAGGAATGGATGTGGGGTAGGGAGCTGGGAGGAGTGAAGGGAAGGGTAGCTGCGTCTGAATTTACTGTGTGAGGGAAGAATAAACATAAATAAATCATATCATAGGTAATGAATTATACTTTAGACAAAGTCATAAATTCTCTTCAAAAACTATTATAGTTTGAATCTGAGGTGCCCTCCCCCCAATTATTTATGTATATTTTACAGTATACATACATAAATATATATATATATATACACATATATATATTTGAATACTTAGTTCTTAGCTGGTGTTTTGATTTGGACAGATTATGAAACATTTAGAAAGTAGGGCTTGACTGAGGAAGTAGATCACTGTGGAGAGAGCCATAAGGATATACCTAAGTCTGCCTCTAGCCTAACTCTTGTTTCCTGATGGACCAT